GTCTCAGAGCTCTTTTCTAGTCCTGCGCAGAACGTTTCCCATACTGTCAACCTTTCTTTCACACACATGCGATGATGCGACGTCACGCGCTCGTCGGATATTTAACTGACCTGCAACTTGAATCTGGAAAACGTAAAGTCCAAGCCGGACTGCTTGTGCTGCCATTCAGTTTACTGGTTGCTTAACAGCGCCACCTGTTGGCCGAACCTTTTAACACGTTCACACACTTACAGCTCTACTTGTACAGCGCTTTTGTCATCATTCACCCATTCACACCCATTCATACACTGATAGCAGGGGCTACCAGTGTTACCAAAGTTATTCCTTTGTTTAAAGCAGAAAACCCATGTTGTTTTAACAACTATAAACCCATATCTATATTGCCTTGTTTCAAAAAAATACTAGAACAAATTGTACACGAAAGGATTATGTTTCATGTAGAGTCTAATTCAATTCTTTACAAACACTATAGTTTCCGTAAAAATCATTCAAATTATATGGCTTTACTTTTCCTTGTTGATAAAGTTATCTCTGCACGTGATAATAATGAATTACTTGCAGTATTTTCATATATCTTTCCAAAGCCTTCGATACAGTAAACCATAATACTTTATTTGAAAAGCTGCATAAATATGGACTCAATGACATTGCATACAAATGGTTAAACAATTTGTTTGTGTTAAGGGTTGTTATTCCAACAAAGCCAGACTAATATGTAGGGTTCAGGGGTCCATTCCTGGACAAATTGCATTCCTTATTTATATAAGCCTTATTTATATAAGCCTGTCTAATTGTTTAATGTGTCAAAAAGCCTTTTTCCGATAATGTTTGCAGATGACACAACCCTCTCATTCAAATTTAAATTCACTGATTAAGGAAGCTAATGCTGGATTAATTGCATATATGCTACATGGTTCAGATTAAATAAACTGTCTTTGAATATGAAATCAAATTGTATTATCTTCAGTGGCAAAAGATCGTACTCTAAGGATTTATCTAAATTTTAAATTGAATCTGTTGAGATACCTCAAGTGTCATCTACAAAATTCCTAGGTATTATTGATGAGAGTTTAAATTGGACTGTTAGTAGAAAAATAAAAAAAATCTACTGGAATAATAAGGAGGGTTGGACATCTTGTCTCCTTATTCTTTATTACAGTATCCCTATCTTTCATAATGTAGTTTGGGAAAGTACTTTTCCTACTACTTTACAAAAAGATTTTGTCCTCCAGAAACATTTTGTTAGGATTGCAACCCGATCACAGTCAGACATCTCATCTGCTCTTCTATTTCAGAGACTGCAAATTCTTACTATTCATGACATCAATATTTCTCAAATTGGTGTTTTTATTTATAAGATACTTTCAGGTGAAGGGAATATTCCTGAACATTTCAAGACCTACTTTAAAGTCAATTCACAGGTTCACTCTTCGTCAATCTTCACATCTTCATCCTCCTAAATTACTTACTAGCAGAGGTCAATTTTCAGTAATATTTAGGGGAATCAAATTATGGAAAGACCTTTCCTACCTAACAAAAACAATTTCCTCGATAAAATTTTTCAAAATGTGCCTAAAAGAAAATCGAATTGCTGTTTTGTAACTGCTTTTTAATGTCTTTCTTGTTTTAGCTGTTATACTACATTTATATTTGTTTCACTCATAGGGACTTGTAGCATTACCACTGCTTAGGAGTTACTGCAGGTGTATAAACCAAAATGTAAATCATCACATTGACATACTCTTGATCGTGTCATTGTAATACAAAAGAATATTGTTAAAATATAACAAACAGAATGAAGCCAGATATGAAAATAATGAATCTGTTATTGACACCTTGATATGATCTGCTATTAATCTGTAGTGAAGTACATTTGTAATTATGGACAATTTCCTTTGAAATTGAATCTGAAATTCAACAGAAATTGGCTCATGAATGACATTTTAACGTGCTTTAATTTTGAAATGCTACATTAGAATGTCCTGGTTCTCTCTGAGTGACACCTTGAGGTGGTCTGCTATTAACCTGAAGTGAAACTATTATGTAACTATAGACCATTTCTTTTAAAATCTAATCAGAATTTCAAAAGGAGTTGGCTCAAGAATGACATTTTGACAGGCTTTAATTTTGAAATCCTACATCAGAATGTCCTGGTTATCCCTGACTGACACTCCGAGGTTGTGTGTTATTAATCTGAAGTGAAATTATTATGTAACTATGGACCATTTCTTTTAAATCTAATCCCAAGTGAAATTAGTCACTTAGTGTAACCTTGAAGTTTCTGAATTGGATGTAGTGTACTGTCATTTTGAAGTCATACTGGTCTGTGTAAATGTATTCTTTATTAATATATTTGAATTTTACACAATTGGAATTACATTTTTTCCCTGAATGAATACTTATTCATTCATTTAGTTTCATTGATGTATTTGATTGTTTTTAATGTATTAATAAATGTATATGATTTAGAGACTCATTGAATAAATGTGACATGTCCTCTCACGTTAACCGGAACTGCTCATATTTTGAAGTCAGATCTTACACGCTACTACCGTAATGCCTAGTACATACGCGTACCGCAAAACAACGTGCGGGCTGGCTTGACTGTGTTTTTCGAAGTGGAGGCTGGCTTGACCACAGTGACATGGACTAGTGGAGCCGAGGATTGAACCACCGATGCATTCAGGGTGACACAATGAGCAATGTGAATTAAGAATATTACTGCACAGGGTAGTCTTGTTACCTGAATTCATATTTGTATTGCTTTCATCAAAATGATGGATAATTAAGGTGCAGGTCTGTGCACAAAGTATAATTAATTTGCCACTGTTTGCCAGGATTCTTTAAGTTACCTTTGTCTGTTTACTAATTAAAATTATGAATTCATACAAACAATTTCTTCCCACCTTATTTCTTCAATATTACAGTATAGTACAGCTAACTTTGGGAAACCACTGAATAGCAGAGGTCTTGCTGATTTTTGTGTATAAAACACTTAGTGGTACCATAAAAAAAGAACCTTACAATTACCAAAACAACAAACAATGACATATATGAACATATGCTATGGTAGGCTCCGAAAGTCTATAAACAAATAGTGCAGTAACATGTACAATATTTTTATTCTTGGGAAAGGCAAGCAGATTTAGTTTTTACTCTAGAGGGCTTGCTTGCTCAACCAATCAGCTAGAACGTATTTTAATGGTAAAAGTAGCTTTAACAACCACAAAATACAATGTTTTCTGATTATAACCTGCTGTTAATATGATACATTAGATGTTATTCCATTTGTTGAAATGGTGTCTACGTATATACGACACTCCTGATAATAAATATCAAACTTAACTTTAAGCAAAAGAAAAAAATTGTTGACAACAATCACTTTATCACCACAATGTGTGTTGATACAAATGCAGTGCATCATGTTAGAATACATACCAGCACTGGTACAAATACTACCCTGCACATCGCTGCAACATTTTTACATTTTCATATGACATAAAATGTAATTTTATTCATCGATTTCTAAAAATTAGATTTCATATTTACATATTATTTGAATGTTTATGCTTACCTCTGTTCTAATTTGTTGTCCTTGTTTTTATATATTTTTTGTTCATTTGTATATTCTGTGTGAGTACATTGAGAGCAACGTACACACTGTAATGTCATGAAAGGTCAATATGGCAGGCTAGGGTGGGGTGGTGCAAGGTAATTCACAAAAACATCAAGATTCACAGAAAAAGGTGACATTTTATTCTGCTGTTACAGGCAACTCAGGTATTTCTCTTTATCGAACTCAAAAAAGTCCAAAATAAACAAAAAGCGTCCAAGAGGAGATAAAGCTTTGTTCCACGGAACAGTATAACAAAAACTCAACTTAGGGTGTCCTCGGTTTCACCGGCCACCGGGTCTTCTTCCCTTCAATCCTCCTCAGTATGACTCTGTCCTTTTCTTTACGCCGTTCTCCAGTCCATGCTAGTTCTTGGCTCTCCTTCCAACCATGTGCTCTCCCGCCCCTCTCTTCCTGCAGCTCTCCTGTCCTGTCTTAATCAGGTGACTTAAATACCCACACCTGGGTGAGTAGCGAGGCCTTCTGGGAGCTGTAGTTTGTGCCTCGGTGGCCATCTTGTGATGTGGCTGCTGATCAGCCACCCATCTACCACCTGGCCCCTGGTGATGCCACAACACACGCACGCATACATGGCCAATAAAGCTGATTCTTGGTTTTAAACATGTTGCTCTTATTCTTATGAGAAGATGTGTAATGAAAAATGTCTTTTGATTCACTTTAATGGAGACACATTTCTGCAGATTGGTTGTCAACTATTAGGTAGAGGCTCATAAAACTGAGTATTGCCAAAACTAACTGCGGAAGGGAAAATTCACTTCCATTACTATTAATAGAATATTAATAAAGGATTAACTATCATGAATTCTACTTAGCATTAAAACAAACTGGTGTCAGATACTGCAGTATGTTGCTTTAGTGCATCAGTATGTGAAGTAGACAGTTGAAATGTGTCAAGTACTGGAGAGCCCATTTGAATGAGTTGATATACAGAATTTTTATTCAAAGGATTTCTGTCCAATTACAGTGAGCTCCCAGCTGATTAACAAAGACAGCAGATAAAACATAACAATCAGTGCATACTGTATCATAAAGAACAGCCGATGACGGATTTGATCAGTTTGTTCATGTTGAGTGACACTGCAACAAGTCAGTCAAACATCTTAAAACATGCTTACAATAAACCCAACACTATCTAGAAATAATCTTCCCACATTATAAAACTGGCGCTGATCTATAACTGTAAGTTGTTCATTAGCATAGATGAGACAAATGAAGAAACACACACTTCAGTTGATGTCAACTTTGTGCAGATCCTCTAAAGTGAGGTACACCACCTGAAACAACACAAGCACAGCTACACATCATTACATGATAACCATTTGGTTCACAGGCTGAATATGTTTATTGCATAGCTCATTTCATGAGACTAAATGAGTTGTGAAAGGTGCTCATACTCGCCTGATCATGGCAGGGGTCGGGGTAGTCACAGATGTCCTGTGGGAAGACTGAACGCATCAACATTTTCACCTCCTCAGGGTAAACATAAGTGGGCTGGAACAGATCCCCCTCCTTCACACCGACCCTGTGAAACATCTGGAATAAAAGCGAGAGGAGGAATAATGAAAAAAAGAGGAAGAGCAGAGATAATATTTCATGATTGCTGGAGGCTGTACATACGCTAGACTAATCCTTGAGGATTCAGTCTTCATTAGCCATTTATCAAGGCATTGATTTTTTCCATCTACTTTCTGTTATCCAGGTCCAGGTCCAGGTAAAGCAAGGTACTCCAGACTTTTCCAGCCACGTCCTCCAGATGGGATATATAATCCAGAGTGTTCTGGGTTTGCCCTTCCCACAATACTGTACATCTACATGAAGGTGTCCAGGAGGCATGGATTAGTTGCTGAACCACCTCCACCAATTGGTAGTGGGGAATGTTGATAAGAATGATCGAAAGTAATCCTGCCACCAAGACTTGGACTGATTAGTGACCAACTATCAATCTTGTGTCTTGCAAAATCCCACTCTGTCTCCTCATACAAATATAGACTGTTATTGCTGTAAGCAAGTCTACAGTGGGGGAATGAATGAGCACCCCCTAAAACCAGCAACCAAGCAGTCGCCTTATGTTATGTGTTATGTTATGTGTTATGTTAAGCTACTGCGAGGACTGTACTGTGTCCATATTTCACAGAGAAACTTTTGCCATAGTTATGCTGTAAAATGTTTGTCAAAGCTGGGGATTATCTGTTTGATACACGGGGGTAAAAAGTAACTAAGTGTCATAGACTGTATAGAAGAAGTGGACGCAGTCACCATAACGTCACCCATTGGTTTGTGGACTGCTGTTTTTAAAGTTTATTTGTCAGTCGCCATCTTGTTTTTTGCAACGAAAAGTGACACAAGAGGGTGGAGCAATAAATCAAGTGAGAAGTCGGGTCGCCCGACCCTTCTCCTGCCGGGGCATCTGGTTGTGCTGCCCTGGGGCTGGGCCTCTCGCTGGCCTTTGTGCTGCCCCGGTCTGGCCTCGCACCTAATAGCTATCTCAATGTAATTGTCAAGTTATCCATTTTTTACTGTTAAGTTAAGTCCTTAACGTCTGCATTTTCCCCACTTGAAAAGGATCGAGTCCACCTGAAGGGTCCCAACTGGATTCCACTCAGAAACCAAACAACTTTTTCTTTTTCCTCCTTTTATTTTTGGTAGGTTCAGTTCAGTTCAGTACAGCTCAGTTCAGCACGCCACTCAGTTCAGTTAGCCACTTAGTTCAGTACGCCACTTAGTTCAGTTAGCTTAGCACTTCTAGCATTTTAGCTTAGCACTTTTAGCACTGTTAGCACTGCTCAGCTCATTCAGTTCATTCAGTCAGGTAAAAAACCTTTAAACAGAAAAGAAACAGAACCCATATTAAATACACAAATTAATTTACACAGGCAAAGCTTTCATGATAGCTTGATTAAATAAAGCACCAGTGTCAAATCCTATAATCTAAAAATGCCCTGATATTAATAAATACAGTTAATGCTATATCATGTATATTTACAATACCATCAGTGAATAATTTAACCTCTTATTACAAGTTACCGCAACCAGATAAAAACACATTTGTGGGCAGTCATCATTAAACAACAGCATTCCAAAACAAAGGGTTATCTGTGTATGCAGCTGTGAAGATCGCCGTGGCGTGATGCTAATGCTAATGCTAGCAAACTGGTCGGCAGTTCTCTTCACATCAGCTTCAAAGTCTCAGTTATTTGCACAGAGTCAGCTCACTTACCGGCTGCCTCTCCAGACCTTTCCGACTCGTCAGTCATGCAGTGACGGCCGCAGATCTCCACACGATACGATCTCGACGGTACTTCCTTGTCCAATTTTCGGACCGTATTTTCTGCGACCCCGTGTGTTACTGCGTCTCTAGTTATATACCTCCAGGCAGATTGGTTCCGCCCTGCTTTCCCTCCGAACACTCACACAGTCAGTATCAATCCCTTTACTAACGGCTTCATTTATTATTTTATTTACCATTAGTTTAAATTCCTTTCAGTTATCTATATTGTTTCTCTCTACATAAAAGAAAACCCGTTTGACTTGACACCTCCCACTCGATCTTCCCATGGAACCACTGGGCAGATTGCCAGCTTAAAAAGGCAAACTTTGTGGTCCCCGTTTGGTGCTCTTGATCATCTTGAGATGCTGTCCTGACTTGACTCTCCATCTGTTCCTCAGCAGGTAGTAAGACAATCAACCGCCTTACGTCTCTGTGAAGGATGGTAGCTTGGGCCTTTCCTTCCTGTTTGTCCAACGTTGGATGATTTGCTCTGGCCTTTGGAGCTTTCGTCACAGGAACATGGTAGCTTGGAATGATTCTGACGTAGACGTCCCCGACGATGCCTTTAGTGTCAGGATTTGTACTGATGACCCTGCCAAGCTTGAATTGCCCCCTCAGTGCATCTTGGTCACTTAGCCAGACAATGTCCCCAACAGCAACATTTCTCTCTGCAGTGTGCCACTTGTCTCTTACAAATAGGTTGGGACCAGCGAGCTGGCTCCAATGCTTCCAGAACCTGGTCACCTCTGACTGCATTGCTCTGAGTCTTTTGTAGGGGTAGCTAGAGAAGTCAAAAGTTTTGAAATCACCACTTTGAGATGCCCGGCCAAGAAGGAGCGTGTTGGGTGTGATATATTGAATACAGTCTTCCCGGCTCTGTATCCTGGCGTCGATTGGGCGCTCATTTGCCAGATTGGCTGCTATGTGAAGAGTTGTTTGGAACTCGCTCTAACTGAGCTCAGACTCCTTTCCAAGACTCTGAAGTGCTTTCTTTACAATTCGTACAGCAGCTTCCGCAGCACCATTCCTGTGTGGAGAATCGGCTGGGTGGATTTTCCACATCCACTCTGTCCCGTTCTTTGCCGCTGTCTCCTCAAGAGCTGCATTGTTTAGGCCGTCCAGGTATCTGTAAAGCTCCTCCAAGACTGGTTTTGCTCCAATGAAATTGGTGCCTGGATCTGACCAGATCTTTCTTGGGTGCCCCCTGAGTGCCGTGAACCTTTGGTAGGACATCAGGAACCCTTCGGTCGATAGAGTATTTACTAACTCTGTGTGGATGGCTCTACTGGCTATGCAGCAAAAGACCACCCCCCAGACTTTTAGTCTCACTCTTTTCTTTACGTCATCTCTTACGTGGTATGGTCCGAAAAGGTCTACTGTTGTGAACTCAAACGGTGCAGCAGGTTCTGTTCGTTCTGGCGGCAAATCACCCATTACTTGTTGACATTTCCTTGCTTTTACCTTCCTGCAGATCATGCACCCATCAACAATTTTTTGGGCCATCCTCCTTCCCCGTATGACCCATGCTCTCCTTCTCATCTTGAGCAGGGTTCCGGCCACTCCGTCATGACTTTCACTGTGGGCCTCCCGAGCTAGCAGTGTGGACACCCATGCGTCATAGGGTAAGATAGGGACCCCAACTTGATCTTCTTTAAAGATTTGCACTCTGCCACCACAAACCAATAGCCCAGAGTCTCTCTTTATAGACTACCAGTCTGTTTGTTGTGGTGCTTGGGAAGGTTGTGCCCTCTTGTGCTGCAAGAAAGATGTCTCTCTGGGCATCTTCTCGTTCTCTTATTGAGACAACTCCTGCTAAAGAAACTGCCTCCCACTTTGAACTCTTCAGGGCTTTCTTTTGTCCAATGAACTTTTTTGCTGCTCTCCAGATCCATGCAATCGCTTTGACAAGTCGGGTTAAACTGCTGAACCTCTTGACATCGACAAGGCATCAGATGGCTGACCCTGCAGGTGGTCTCCTTTGTTCAGTTTGTGCCTGGTTCTGATTTTGTTCCGCTTCCTTTGCCTCGGCTCTCGTTAGTGCAGCAACAAATGCTTTCTTTTGCAACTTGTTAATGCTTTCTCTGGCAGCGGTTGCTAGTTCCTTAGCCGATTTGATTGGCCACTCATTCACTGGCAAACTTTGGTCCATTTTGCCACTCTGAGTCCTCATCCAGGTCTTGAGGGTTGGCTCCTCTGGTGATTATATCAGCAATATTTTGCGGACCAGGGATCCACCACCAGTCTTGGATCCTTGTGCCGTTTTGAATTTCTCCAATCCGATTTGCAAAGAATGTTTGATAGCCATAGCTTTCTCGCTGTACTGCACCAAGGACTGTTTGGCTGTCGATCAAATGGTACCACCGCTCAACTTGGATTCGGCTGTGTAGCTCAAAGTACCTTCTTAACCGTGAGGCAAACACAGCTCCACAAACCCTGCCTTGACAGCATCACCTTTGCAGTCCAAGGGAGTTAATTTTGCTTTAGACTCCACCAGCCTAACGACTGGGCCCTGGTCTGAATTCCACCTTAGGTACATCACTGCTCCATAGGTATGCTCGCTTCCATCGGAGAACGTGATTGCCCAAGGTTTCTCAATGTAGCATGGAGGCGTTAGTGCTCTGGTGAACATGACTTTGCCAAGTTGGATGTACCCTTCGAATAGCTTAATTGCATCCTCCCTGAGGTCGTCTGAGAGTGCTGTGTCCCATGTGTCTTTGACTGGACATCTTTCGCTCTTTGCCTCTTGGAACGCCCTTCGCACCAGAATAGCTCCCTTTTGCTTAGCAGGAGTTACCAGGCCGACTGGGTCAAAGAGCCCTGAAACTTGGCTGAGCAGTTCTCTTCGCGTCAGGGGATTTGGTATCTGATCTCTGACTTGTCCTTGATGAAGGTCCTGGCCAATTCTCATCTTTTTCTTTCTCTTCGAGAAATTGATTGCGATCATGACATGGAGCTTGTCCTCTTCGACCATGTAGCCCAGGCCGAGCGCCTTATTGTCATCATCGCTCATTTGGTTTGGCAGGACCATGGTCTTCGCCTTGGTCCTCTCCAACTTGTCCTTCCAACCCATCCTCCCACCTTGCCCAGAAAAGACCCACGGCTTGAGCTCAAAACATCCAGCTTTCAAGATCTGCTTTACATTTGCTGTGATGGTTTTTAGCTGGTCCAGATCATTGTGGGATGTGAGAATGTTATCAACGTAGCTGTCTTCTTGTAGCACCTGACGCTCCTCGTTGAGGTGGGTGAAAGGAGTGAGGTTAGCAGTCTCGCGCATTGCTAGCTGTGCTGCACCCTGCCGGTTTGTCTCCGATGTTTACTCTCGTGATTGCATATTCTTCCAGCTCTTCATCCTCCGAGTCTCGCCAGAGGAATCTATGAAGGTGTACTTCCTGGTCCTCCAACCAAACAGAGTTGTACATCTTTTTTATGTCACCCAGGGCAGCATGTACTCCACACCTGAATCTGAGAAGGACAGCACAAATCTGGTTGAGGACATCTGGACCTTTCATTAGCAGGTCATTCAAGCTCACACCTCTGAACTTCTGACTGCTGTTCCACACAAGTCTTACTGGGGTTGTGACAGAGTGTGGGTTAGGAGCTATAAGGTGACTCACATACCACATTGGCCCATTCCAGCTGTCTATTGCGTCCTTGGACAGTTTGATTGCAGCTCTTCGGTCAACCATGTCATGCACTTGAGCGGCATAGGCAACCCTCCACTCTGGTTCCTTGGCTAGCTGTCTTTCCGTCCTGAGAAACATAGCCTCGACTGTTCTTTTATTGTTCGGCAGAGAGGCTGGATCCTCTAACCAAGGATATCGGGAGTGCCAATGTGGTTCCTCGCTGTGGTTATCACCTGTGACATAGGTGAGGCCTTCCTTTACTATTTCGAGTTCCCTCTCCTCAGCAAGAGTCATTTCTTTGCCACCTGGCTGGCATTTTCCACAGCGACAACCCCCACATTTTGGCTCACATGCTGCACCAATACTGTCCCATTTCCACCACTCAAGGAAGTCCTTATTGGTGGTTGAAGTACTTGACTCCTGAAGCTTGGTGGCAACCTGTCTGCCTGGTAGAAGTCTTACTGGTGTCCTGCTAGTGAGCTCCTCGTACTTTACAGCCGCTGCTCTCATTGACCTTGCAAAGTGTGTCTTGGACATGTGGGCTGACACAGTGAGTTCCTCAAAGAGGTCTGGATGCGTTCCGCCGACCGTCTTTCCAAGTGGTCCGTCCCACAGTACGAGATTTCCAACAGCTTTGGTTCTTTGTGGTGCTAGTTGACCTTCTCTATGACTTATGAGCAAATTTATTGCTTTGGGTCTCACAAGTTCATCAAGTGGTAAGTCTGGGAAGAATTTGTGCAGCTGCTCCGGTGTCACATTTTTGTGGATATTTGCAATGCTGTCCAGTCCATAGCAAACCAATTGATGGGGTTTAAGAGTGCCCTGGGGAATCTTTACTCTGACCTTCAGAAGATATCGTCTTGTCTCCACACGAACCTTCATCCCTCCAACTCCATGGACGACGAGAGTCATTTCTTCGCTCCTGAGGTTCAGTCTGCTTGCAGCCTCGTGGGTTATATAATTTGTGTCTGAAGCCAAATCAATTGATGTTCCGATTTTTTGTCCAGCATTAGCTGTGACCTCGAGAAGCATCATAATTACTGGTAGCTCTTCCAGTCCACCAGAAGGCTTGGTTGATCTTGTACAGTGCTGAAGGCTCTTGAAGCAGTGTTGGAAAAAAACGTCCCGACATTGTTTTGCTAATTCTGGTCAAAGTTTGTTGAAGAACTCCTCTTGATTATCTGTATATTTCCTCCTGGCTTTCTCCCCCTCTGGGCCATATCTGTGACTTTTCTGACTCATGCTGTTTCTTTTCACCTCAGCATTGGGGCACAGGTAGTAGTAATGCCCAGGAGCATGCCCATCTTTGCAGCCTTGGTTTTTACACAGAAAGTCAGTTTTGCAGTATGAAGAGTCATCATGAACCTCAAGATACATTCTGCATGCTCCCAACTTTCTTACTGCAGCCTTTTTCTCGCCCAGCTTCAGTGCGCGAAATTGTCTGCAAAAGTAGAGCTTCTTCTTATGCTTTCCATCACCACAGACTACACACCCTAAATGGTCATCGTCTGATTTGGTAGACTTGGTTCTTGCATGTCTTGGCTCCCAACTGGTCTCTTTTCTACTTGGCTTCTCATCCTTCAGTTGCTCGAGCTGCTCATATATGCTTTCTTGCCCTTTGAGGAATGTCAGGAGATTGTCAAATCGATTCTCTGGTGCCACTGCATTTGTCCTGTCAGTGACATAGACTAGCCACTCCTTCTTCAGAGTTTCTGGAAGTTTGCTTTCAATTGACTTTGTTACCAGAGGTTTTCTGATTGCGCCTGTGTCTCCAAGATCGTTCAAATCTTGAAGCGCCTTCTCCACAGCTTGGATTAATTCCACTATTTTCCGTGGCTGATGACTTCTGACAGCTGGCATTCTCTGCAACTCCTCCACTATTTCAATGGCAATAGCAATTTGATTGCCGTAGCGGTTCTCTAGGACTCGGAAAATATCACCTGCAGTGATATAGGTGGTAAGGTGAAGGTCTCTCGTGACTTTGCCATCCAGACTGTCCAATAGTTGAAACTTTTTCACCTCCCTTGAACCGGTCGGCTCACCCTGCTTCTGGAGTGCTTCCCAGTCTTTTTTCCACCTGTGGAAGTCACGTTTATTTCCAGTGAACTTTGGAAGGGCAGTAGGTTTCAGTCTGATGGTGGCTGGCATGGGGTAGTTTGAAGTCATGGCCCCAAGTGATCTTTCAGCATCCTCCTTTCTCCTAGCCTGTATGTAGTCCGCCTTTCTGGAGACCAACTTTGGATGGAGGAGTTGAAGTCCTTTTAACTGGCCCTGAAAGTCCTCTTGCTCACTTTTGGGGATCCATAGTTTCCACCGACTGTGCACCTCCTTTGCGGTCTTTACCAGTCCTTGCAGGTGGTTAAGCATGAATTCATATGCCTCCTGGTTACCAACAGCAGCAGCACGGTCACACTCGCTCTCTGCTGCCTGTAATGCTGTTGACAATTCACTTCTCCCAAAGTTGACCCAAAGTGCTTGCTGAATCAGACTTCTGGTCTCCTTTACTTTCATGTCACACTCATTGAAAGTCCTCTCTAGGTCAGCATTTTGCTGTTCAGTCAATACAGTATCTGTATCCAGCTCCGCCTCCAGTTCAGCAATGAATCCAGCATCATCTCAACATCTTCATTCACTCCCATGACTTTCTCAGCTTCAATTTTAAGCTTATTGAAACTGTCTCTGACCTCCTCTTCAGACATGTCCTCATGAGTCCTGGTAATGCTGTTGATCAGACGTGTAAACAATCTTTTTGCTGTGGTTCGCGCCACCTTGAGTTGTTCTACTGATTTGCCAGTAGCTTGATCCGCCATGTTAAATTCAATCCGCAGGTTGATTTCAGGCGAGATGGTAATACTCTTCTGTTTTCATGTATCTTTAGTTGATTGTCTTCCTTTCCCAGGATTCCAGTTTATTGCTCCTGCTGTTCCAGCTGAAAGCTCCTGGTTTTTCCTCTCCTGGTTATTCAGACTTTCCAGTTCCCCGGTCTTGCGGTTTTTTACTGTCAAGTTATCCATTTTTTACTGTTAAGTTAAGTCCTTAACGTCTGCATTTTCCCCACTTGAAAAGGATCGAGTCCACCTGAAGGGTCCCAACTGGATACCACTCAGAAACCAAACAACTTTTTCTTTTTCCTCCTTTTATTTTTGGTAGGTTCAGTTCAGTTCAGTTCAATTCAGCACGCCACTCAGTTCAGTTAGCCACTTAGTTCAGTAATCCACTTAGTTCAGTTAGCTTAGCACTTCTAGCCTTTTAGCTTAGCACTTTTAGCACTGTTAGCACTGCTCAGCTCATTCAGTTCATTCAGTCAGGTAAAAAACCTTTAAATAGAAAAGAAACAGAACCCATATTAAATACACAAATTAATTTACACAGGCAAAGCTTTCATGATAGCTTGATTAAATAAAGCACCAGTGTCAAATCCTATAATCTAAAAATGCCCTGGTATTAATAAATACAGTTAATGCTATATCATGTATATTTACAATACCATCAGTGAATAATTTAACCTCTTATTACAAGTTACCGCAACCAGATAAAACACATTTGTGGGCAGTCAATCATTAAACAACAGCATTCCAAAACAAAGGGTTATCTGTGTATGCAGCTGTGAAGATCGCCGTGGCGTGATGCTAATGATAATGCTTATGCTAGCAAACTGGTCGGCAGTTCTCTTCACATCAGCTTCAAAGTCTCAGTTATTTGCACAGTGTCAGCTCACTTACCGGCTGCCTCTCCAGACCTTTCCGACTCGTCAGTCATGCAGTGACGGCCGCAGATCTCCACACGATACGACGGTACTTCCTTGTCCAATTTTCGGACCGTATTTTCTGCGACCCCGTGTGTTACTGCGTCTCTAGTTATATACCTCCAGGCAGATTGGTTCCGCCCTGCTTTGCCTCCGAACACTCACACAGTCAGTATCAATCCCTTTACTAACGGCTTCATTTATTATTTTATTTACCATTAGTTTAAATTCCTTTCAGTTATCTATATTGTTTCTCTCTACATAAAAGAAAACCCGTTTGACTTGACAGTAATCATAACTATTATGATGAATATTATAATTATTGCTTATATTAATATAATGGTCATATAATAATAATAATTATTATTATATGTCCATTATATGATAACATGTCATAATATTGCTATTATTTATTTTTATTATTAGGATATTGCAAAACCACCACAAATGGTCTTGACTAGTGCTATATAAATTAAAGTAATTCTCAATAACCTTATTAAGAGCATCACTGTGCAAAAGTATTGTCAAAACTTGTTCATGACATAAAAAAACAATGGCAGTAACATATATTTGCATTGTATTACATGAGCACAGACCAGTTTCCTCTGCAGAAGCCTGTAGGCCTTCTTGCGACGGGCGCGGTCACTCTTCAGGCGTCTGGCAGCTTGGAACAAGGATGCTATCCACACAGGAAGTCTGAGGAAAAAGGAGGATTTTCTTAGGATCCCTGTCTGCTCCTAGTGTGTGCTCCTCTGTTTTCCCCCTGTCTGTTTTGTTATTGTGGGCCATGTGCTTATGTTTTGTTTGTTGTGTCAGCCTACAGTTTCCACCCCCGTGTTCCGCCCGCTTCACGTCTCTCTCCTTAGGCTCATCTGTGGCTCTTCCAGTGATCGCCGCTGGCTGGCTTAAATACCTCGGCTTTCACCGGCGCGTCGTCAGTCCGTCCGGTTACCAGTCTGGTCACGTAAGTCGGAACACGATTCAGTGAAGATCGTTATCTGTTTGTTTTTCTGTTCCTTTGCCGCTCAGCATCGATCCCTGGAGGATCACCTGTGCCTTCTGTTTGCTGTGTTGGACCTCGGGCCTCCACACAGTCGCGCCGTCCTGTTCCTCCTGTATTGAGTGCGGTCGAGTTTCCCTCCCGACTCCGGAGGCTATCTGTCCCGGCCTCGGTTGAGCTTCCCTCCCGACTCCGGTGGAGAAAGAGGAGTGACTTTAATTTGCTGGACAGTTAGTCTTTGTTTTTTGTTTGTTCATTCTTTGACTCCTCCTGCACAGTTAAATAAAGTATTGGCTGGAGTAAAACTGCTGTGTGTGCGTGCGTTTGGGTCCACCAACTACACTACCCCATAACAGTTTAGACAGAAAAGTGTCTAGATGGTTCTTTTCTGAGCTGTTTATGATGCCACAATACATCCCTTCACCATCTGATAATGGTTGACACATTAGACACTCTGTGTATTAGTTACTGTGCCCAATATTTATTTAACGTTTATTTACATAGCATGGACTGAGGTTGGTTTGATGCTCGCCCAGTAACCCAAAAGGAGATCATCCCTTTTGTTTATAGTTGCTGCAATTTTAAATCTTGCTTTTTAACTAAGGGTTACAACAAGGTTCAACAGCCTGATTTGGCTTAAAATCACACCAAGCCCCACGAGACGTTAAATCTCATTTAACGAGGTCTCATTGGATGAGGCCCACAGGCACCTTGTAACAATTGACCTAATTATATTAACCTAAAAAGGGAAAAGTACATACGCTAAAATTAAAGGGCACGGGCGGATCTGAATTGGTAGGTATACAGACACCACATCTGACTGCATAACATAGTTGAAGGTACCAAAACACGCTGAAGGGTCTTCTATATTATTCCCTATAATGACTGACCACCTCAAACAAAAGAAACCACACGTTAGTTAAATATAACATATATTAATATAAAGCAAATTCATACGGCATACGAGTTGCAGCACACAAAACAAAAAACATGAGGCTCCCGCTCTACTCCGGCACAATAAACTATCCATCCATCCATCCATTTTCCTTCGCTTATCCGGGGTCGGGTCGCGGTGGCAACAGGCCAAGCAGGCTGACCCAGACTTCCCTCTCACCGGCAACATCTTCCAGGCTCATTCTGGGGGATCCCGAGGCGTTCCCAGGCCAGCTGGGAGATGTAATCCCTCCAGCGTGTTCTGGGTCTTCCCCGGGGTCTCTTCCCAGTTGGACGTGCCTGGAAAACCTCCAGTGGGAGGCGTCCAGGAGGCATCCTAATTAGATGCCCGAACCACCTCAGCTGACTCCTTTCAACGCGAAGGAGTAGCGGCTCGACTCCAAGTTCCCTCCTGATGACCGAGCTCCTTACCCTATCTCTAAGGCTGAGCACCGATCCGCCTGTCGATCTCCCGCTCCATCTTACCCTCACTCGTGAACAAGACCCCGAGATACTTTAACTCCTTTGCTTGAGGTAGGCACTTTGTTCCCACCTGGAGGGAGCAATCCACCGGAGCACCATGACCTCAGATTTGGAGGTGCTAACTCTCATCCTCACCACTTCACACTCGGCTGCAAACCGCCCCAGTGAATGTTGGAGGTCACGATCCGAGGAGGCTAACAGGACCACATCATCTGCAAACAGCAGAGAGCCGATCCCGAGACCCCCGAACTTGACGTTCTCCGCCCCCAGGCTGCGCCTAGATATCCTGTCCTTGAAAGTCACGAACAGGACCGGTGACAAAGGGCAGCCCTGGTGGAGGCCAACACCCACAGCTCCTATTGCAGTCGTACAGAGACCGGATCGCCCGTTGTAACGGGTCCGGCACCCCATACTCCCGCAGCACCCCCCACAAGAACCCCGAGGGACCTGGTCGAAAGCCTTCTCCAAGTCCACAAAGCACATGTAGACTGGTTGGGCAAACTCCCAGAACCCCTCCAGTAGTCTTGCGAGGGTAAAGAGCTGGTCCACTGTTCCACGACCGGGACGGAATCCGCATTGCTCCTCTTGAATCTGAGGTTCGACAAACGGTCGGAGCCTCCTTTCCAGCACCCTTTACACAATCAACTAAACATTTACAAAATATCACTCAAACCCCGAGTCCGATCATTTCCAAAAGTTCCGTAAAGCAACGCAAAACAGTCCGATGACAAACAAATAAATCCCCAAAACAAAGTCAGAGGCTTATCGGGACCATAGTAGGGTTTCATGTCAACCACATTCACATTGTCCACCTTCATTTTATCAGTCAACCATCGAACACGGTAGTTTATAGGACCTAACTTTTACTCGGCCCTGACCATCTGGGTGCGAACTTGGCAGATAATTTGGCTGAGGCTTTAGACAGTGGGTGTGCCCCAATCCAGACCAAGTCACCGACCCCAAAGTGTACATCTCTGCAGCGTGCGTTATAGTACCTGGCTTGTCTGGCTTTGGCCACACCAACGTGTCTTTCAACCTCCTTCAGCATCTGTGAGTGAGTGTAATATGTGGTATGTAGATATGTTGGATGCAGGGGTCTTGTGTACGAGACGTTCCAACGGACCTTTGAGTTTGCGGCCAAGAGCCAACACAGCGGGGGTCACGACTGGTCTCGTGTACTGCTGTGTTGATAGCCATCCGGAATTCAGGCAACCACCGGTCCCAGTCTTGATGGAAGACTGCAATCAAGGTCAAAGAAAGCAATCAAGGTATTCAGCGTCCTATTGACCCTCTCTGTCAGATTGGTCTGGGGATGGTACAGCGTAGTGAGCTTTTGCTAGACATTAGCTGGCTTGTGAATTGTGGTTCTTGATCAGAGACCAGGTACGCTGGTACTCCCCAGCGTGTGAAGATGTCATTATTTAAGATCTGACAGACTTTTGGAGTCTTAGCATCTTTTAGGGCGAAAAGCTCCACCCATTTGCTGAAATAGTCCACAACTACCATCAGGACTGAATTCCGGGCCTTGCTGAGTGGGAACGGCCCCATGAAGTCCACTCCTATCATCTCACCAGGTTCTTTGACCTGAGTTTGCTGGAGATGACCAGCTGGCTTGTCGTTGGAGCCTTTGTATTGCTGACACGTAGGACATGCACGGACATGGCTCCACACATCCTTGCGGACTGTTGACGGTGTGCAGGACTGTTACTTTGAAAGCGACAGTCTTTTGAACACATGATTGAAGCACATACCCATTTGTCGATAAAAGAAAGCATGTAGTTGGTAATCTTGACAGCAGCTGTGAAACGGTGTGTTAAATTGAACTTGTCTGAGTAATAGTTCATGTTTAACATGTTCAACTCAATGCTCAACTTGTTTTTACTAAGTTAACCATTACATCATCTTTTAGCTTTTTTTTAAATGGCCGCAGCTCAGAAAAATTTCAGGAGGCCTTTAGCTTACCCAAATGAACAGCAGAGATCAACATACACATCCATGAGAAAGTTGATTGAGGCCAACTGGGTCTGTGAACCAAAACAGTTTGTTTCAACATGACTTACAGTGATAGTTAGTGTATGAAGGCTGCCACTCTACTCCAGGCATTTTAGATCAATAGAAGAAAAT